GCAATGAATTATTTACATTACTCTTTAATAATTTTTTACATTTAAACTTTTAAAGTTTTTTACTTTACATTTGTTTTTGCAAAATAATGGCAAAGTATATTATATCAAATATGTTAAATATGAGAAATTGCAGTTAGAGTATTCCTTTCCTAGCCTTCATGATTGAGGTGAATGGCATATGAAAGTCGTTTTTACTCATTGCAATTTAGACCTGATTAAATAATAAACAGTCTATTCCCAAATAACTTCTTTGACAGTGAATAATATTTTAATGACTATTATTTGGTCATTTATAGAGCTTGTTACAAATGGAGAAAACATAAAAATTCAGGATCACAGTCTTAGTCAATAGAGGGAAATCAAGGATAGATAGTATGGGCAGAAGTGTAGGAGGAAGAGTTAAAGGCTATTTACTGTCTGTTTTTATATACCATATTGCTTATTGAATCAGAAGATTTTATGTAATCAAGAGACAATTTCCATATTTCTTAATATAATTTTTGTATTTTCCTACAGTACGAATATTAGTCTTTAATATAAGACTGTCTCTCTTATTACTGTGAACCATCCTTAAATTGTTAGGTATTGCTTCGTCTTTGCAGTGTCTAGGATTGGCCTAAATGCTGAAGTGCCTTTGGCCATTAATTGCTCAAACCACCATAGGGTTTAAGCTTACAACAAAAGCCATTAAAAAGTCAGTATTTGCCAATTCTCCCCACACAGTGCCCACACATGTACCACAGGTATCTTAAAGTACAGGGAAAAGCTGTGGTAGTCTCAGATATAATTGTGTGGTAGCCAGGGCCGGCTGCAGGGTTTTGGCCGCCACAAGCAGCCAAAACCAAAAAAAAAAAAAAAAAGCCGCAATCGCGATCTAAAAAAAGCCGCGATCGCGATCTGCGGCTGCAATTCGGCTGGAGGTCCTTCACTCCCAGGCGGAGTGAGGGACCGTCCGCCGAATTGCCGCCGAATACCTGGAACTGCCGCCCCTGTCCGGAAGGGCCGCCCCAAGCACCTGCTTGAGAAGCTGGTGCCTGGAGCCAGCCCTGGTGGTAGCTGTTGACACATCATGAAATTTCAATTGCAGCCACTGTACTTTGAAAAGAAGCAGATGGCAGAGAGTATGATTGCATGAATCCTGGCAGACGATTGGAGTTGTGGAATGGCAGTTAAGCATATTACATATTTCCAGAGGTGAAATCCAAGCCCCACTGAAGTCAATGGCAAAACTCCCATCGACCTCTGGGGTGAAATCCTGGCCCCACTGATGTGCTGGAGAAAGATGATGAGTCATGGAGGGAGTAAGGATAGTCTGTTTTAGGTCATGCTTTTACATATGTTGACTCCACAGACTCATGGAAATGCTTTGTCAACCACTGCAACTTATTCTGGCTCAGAGATGAAATAAGACTGACTCTGTTGTCCACCCTCTGTCCCTACATCCTTCCCAATGGAGAGAGGAGGCATGTGGTGTCACCCAGGACTCAATAGGAAAACATCAAGGGAGCCAGTAAAGGTTGAATAGTTGTAACAGAGAGCTCACTCTACCACTAAGTCCTCCACATCAGGTAACCCAGCAGCCAGTCTCAGAAGATGACAGAAACACAGATATTCCTACATTGCCTCCATAGTCCTATACAAACGTAATGGCTGCTAAATCACAAGATGGGGTATAGACTACTAAATTAGATGAGGAATTCCTATAGTGAGTTGTGCATGTTTTTCTTGGAAATCATCTATAATTGAACATTTTCTTGACATATGAAGCTAGACTCAGTCTCCTGGGTTTGTTTGTGGGTTTGTTTGATTTTTGTCACAGTCTCTCAATTATCCACTGTAATCCTAACTAATTGGCATAGTCTTTCTGGTGGTCAGTGTAACCTGCACACAAATTTGAAATATATGTACTTTTTTCCCCTTTGTATGATATAATGTGTTAGATTGTGCATTGATAGCATATTGAAAAGTAATTAAGATGTGAGGCAGATACTATTGTTTTGCACTTATTTATCCCAATAGATGCAAATTTAGTAAATCTCATCTTTTACAATCTCCATTTGTTTTCTATAGTTAGTCCAAAATTGTCTTCATTTATGTTATTTAGAGCCAGGTTTTGTTTTAATGCTGAATAAATCATGTTTTTTATTCAATTGTGGGTGGCAGATTAAGTAAATAAAATGAATGAGTGGCATTTTGTTGCCACTTCTGAAGACAGCTTAATCTGTAAGCAATATATAACAACATCCTGGCTTGCCATATTTGCAATTTTGCTTCTGCTTTCTCTTGTATAATTCACACTTTCTTATACATATTTATAGTAATCAGTATTGCCAAAGTTAACATTACATAATGTGTTATTCTTATTTAGTCCCTGTACTGACTCCTCAGTGGAGCAGAGGCGAAAGAAGCGGGTAGAAAACAGTCTCAGACACTGGATGTCAGTCCATTCAGTGCTGCGGGTACGTGGTCAGGGGTGTGTATATTTTCATGGAAAATTATTCAGAACTTTGTAAAACAAAATATTTTTTTCCCCGAGTAACTTTATTACTTTAAATCTTGTTATATGAAAATAAAAAACGTGGATTTAAGGATCCCTAGCTAATTTAGTAACTGACTCAGCATCAAGGGACATCACAACCCTTTTCCCTCAGCCCTCCCTCAGGCCCAACCTCTGTGGAGCCAGGCTTTGAGGGCAGAAGGCCCCAGCGGATAACCCACACTCCAGGAACAGTATGTAGGCTGGAGCCCTCCACAGACTTTCCCAGCAGAAATTAAGGTGACCAGTTGTCTGGTTTTTACCGGAACACCTGGTCAAAAAGGGACCCTGGTGGCTCCAGTCATCACCGCCGACTGGGCCATTAAAAGTCCAGTTGGTGGTGCTGCAGACCTAAGGTAGGCTAGTCTCTACATGTCCAGGCTCTGCACTGTGCCCCGGAAGTGGCCAGCAGGTCCAGCTCCTAGGTGGGGGGGCCACGGGGCTCTGCGCGTTGCCCCTACCCCGAACACCGGCTCCACGCTCCCATTGGCCGGGAACTGCTAGCTGGGTAGCTCATATGCTGCTGTCAGCTGGGGTTGTGTGTTGCTCAATGTCCAAAGGATCAGCCAAACAATCACCTCCATTTGGTGCCTTGGATCTCTCCCTGGAATCCTGGGCTAGCCTACCATTGATCGCTGGGGCAAAGGACCCACTGGGCAGTATCTGAGCTCTTCAGTTCTGTATCAGCCAGAGCAGAATTTGGCACGAAAGGGTTCAAACCTGCCCTGGGCTGCACGAGTGCACAAAGTTGGTATTATGTCCCCCAAAATCTTGTCAGCCAATTATGCCCTCTAACCAAGCTACGGTGACTTTAATTAGTTCATAATAACAACAAGAAGAAATAAAGTAACAGTATTAGCTGCAAAGGTACAGTAAGAGAGATGGCCTTTGCTTATAAGCTACATACAGCACTGTTTCATTGCCGGGTTCAATCTCCAACTAACTAGAGCTGCAGCTGCCTTCAAAATGACAAATCTTTTGAACTCTGCCACCCAGAATGTTGCAGTCCATAAAGGTGCAGTAACTGGGCTGTCACCACAGTGGGGAAGAAACTGTAGAGAACCTCTTCCCACACATGCAGCAAAGTAGGATCTATACACACTGCTTGAGGAAGCGTTCTGAGAGAGAGAGAGAGAGATGGCTAATGGGGTGGTCAACATGCCACATCCTCAAGCGGGTGTGGTTTGTGGTTTAGGGGTGGTGTCCAGCCCACCAGCTGGTTAGCACCTATTCTGCAGCCAGCAACAAGTGCTAGGCTGGCTTGCATTTTGTTTCTGCTCATAGGAAGAGCAGGATCCCTGAAACAGAGGTTGGAACCAGCTACATATCTTCTCCCCATCACGGTATTATCTCGGAGAGAAATTGGTCCTAATTCTATAGGCAAGAAGGAAGAGAAACTCCCAAGGAGTCAGCAAAACCAAACCTTATTCATCTTACAGGGGGAGTTAATGCATGGTACTCGTTCCTTTCTCCAAAGATGGCTTTTTAATTTCTGTGTTAAAGGTTTAGTTAATTCATTGTTGGTTAAAGATGCTAGTTAAACAACTCAGGAGACTGAACTTCTCTGTTTCTCTACTGAAAAGCACAGTGGCAGAGCATGCTTCCCCACCACACTCATCCCATCACAGTGCCTGAATCATGACCTAGAAAGCACCTTGAGGGCAAGAATGTAGTATGTTTTCCAGGCGTCTCCAATCCTTGGCCACTCTACTGAGACCAAAAAAATTGTCAATTGTGATGATAGCTTTTCTGATGTCAAAAATTCATCATAGCAACTGAATAGAGACCATTTACTCATTTCAGAAAGACCTCCAAACAGAGCAGACAATAATGACTTTTGGTCACTTAATCTGGGGCAGAGGTGATCTAATGACCTATTGGACAGATAAAGGCTCAGTATTCCATTACACATCCCCTAAGCCATCCAGTCCATTCATGGTATATGAGAATTCCAGGATACGAAGACACCAGGATTCCAAGAGTAGAAGTTTCAAGGACCAGATCATAATTTGGTGTAAAGTTGTTGAAGTCAGTGCAGGGTATGTCAGTTTACACAAGCTGAGAATCTGGCCTGTAAGTTCAAGCCTTGGAAGTGAAAGATTTAAGTTCACTGCTACTCCTGCTTTGTTCTATTTAGTCATTAGCTTTCCATTATTTTTTCTGAACTGTTAATAAAGCTTGGACATGGTGCATTTTAGTTCCTGATTGGAAACATCTAACAGGTAAGTTCTCTGGGCAAGTACTGTCTTTTTGTTATAGGTTTGTACAGTGCTTAGCACAATAGGGCCCTAGCCTATAGCTGCTACTGTAATACAAATAAATAATAATAAGCATGCAGACAAACAATTAATGTATATACCCCACAAGACTTTTGAGACCTATCTCATTGTCTTAAGGGATTTTGTTGTATCTGTATGACTTCTCTGACACAGTGTCATGTTGATGTCTCTGCTTTGGTTTTCAGGAAGCATTATCAGTAGTAAGCGAAGACCAGTCCTTGTTTGAGTGTGCCTACGGAACGCCACACCTTACTAAGACAGAGATGACTGCCTCCTCTTCCAGCGAATATGGGCAGACATCAAAGATGAGTCCGCGTGTCCCCCAGCAAGACTGGTTATCACAACCACCAGCTAGAGTCACCATCAAGATGGAATGTAACCCAAATCAGATTAATGGGTCAAGGTAATGAGGCTAGAGTTTAAAATTACTAGCAATGATGCTTTACTACTATCTGTATCTTATCTATCAAGGTACTTATATGGTCCTTACCACTGGTAGTATCTGAGCTCCTCTACTTACCAACACAATGTGGAAATATCTGTCCATGTCAAAATAGGATTTAGGGGAAAAGATATCTCAACAATTTGAGGCTTGTGTAGTTTTTGGTGTTTTACTCTGACTTGAGTTTAATTCATAGTATTGTGACGGTAGATGTAGCAAACCTGTCTGATACAATATATTTACTAAGTGTTTTTTCAGAAGCTAACGGGGATTTAGTGGGAGAATATACCTTTAAGAACTTTTATTGTCTGCTAAATAGAGCTGTACTAAATTGGAGAGTGGTTTGCCCATGTGTTTCACATAATTTTTCATCATGAGATTTTGGGGAAATGGATTTTATTTACAAAGCCACTTCTGTGCAAAAAGTTTGTGAACTTAAAATAAGGAGTAGGTGTCCCACCCAAAAGCCACCTGTTGTTATCCTCATCCAATTAAAGTCACTGTAGTTAAATTAAAAGTTATGATTGGCTGATTGGACTTTGAAAGACTATTTTGGCAGCCACATTTGAAAACAGGCTAATTATTTCCAGTGAATAGTTTTGTCTAGCTGTATTGATAAATGACTCATCCAGTATATTTTTGTGGTAAAATTATTACAGATAGTATCTTATTTTAATCAGGTTAGCTAAACATGCCTTTGTGTTATTTTTAAAAGGTTACATTGGGCCAAAAGGAGCCCTGGAAGAGTTTTCTTGGGCTTGTGATCTGGACCTGATCTTGCTATGAGAAAATGGTGGTAACAAATAGCTAGGTGTATGAGCTGCTGTCTCTGCCAGAAATGTAACAGGACAATGCAAAAAGCAAGTCCTTATAACGACAAGCAGAGTGAGCTGTTGATCTTTACTCCCATGAGACTGCACGGGGTGACCTGAGGCCTCATGTTTAAAGTGTCTCACTCTAGAAACAGTTTGCGTTTTTATGCAAAATTGCTACCTGTGTATAAATAGAGGGTACAAATTCCCATCACCTTGTAAAAAAGCACCTGCATTTATTCACACATTAATCTGATCTCCTACACTCAAATTATTCAAAACAAAAAACAAAATCCCCCCCCCCCCCCAAAAGGTCACATATACTGTGGTTCTGGTCATATTTGCTGCACTACCAAACATCAGTGCCATAGGTATGATAAAGCAGTCCAGCAGCCATGGATACTCAAAGAGGAATTCTGTACAGTAAATTGTATATCATTAATGTAATAAAATACATTTTCAAAACTGGAGACAAAATTCTACGAATTTCCACCAAATTGTCAAAAAATTGTGTAACAGAAATTAACAAACAATTAACTGAAATATAAGTTATACAGTGGTAGCTATATGTAGTCTTCTTGTAAGTCCCATCATTTAGAGACAAATTTCTAGTTTTGTGTATTAAAAAGGTTTATTCATACATAAGAATGTAAACGTTTTCATCAATTAAAAAAACAAATTTTCCTCCTCCCGAATATTATATTTAAATATTCCCATTTTGTTTTAGTAGATTCTATATGAGAATTGGTGGTTATAGTTTCTCTGGCCAAGCTCAGTGAAATCGGGGGAGGGATAGCTCAGTGATTTGAGCATTGGCCTGCTAAACCCAGAGTTGTGAGTTTAAATCCTTGAGGGGGCCACTTAGGGATCTGGGGCAAAATCAGTACTTGGTCCTGCTAGTGAAGGCAGGTGGCTGGACTCAATGACCTTTCAGGGTCCCTTCCAGTTCTATGAGATAGGTAAATAAATAGTGTTATTGATTATTTAGATTTGTTGTAATTGTTTGTGGTATTATTAATAACTAGGGGTGCAAAATCTTAGCTTCAAATGCTCCCACATTTATAAGGAATCTGGATAATGTGAGTCCATCTGAATTTTGCAGTTAGTCCCATTTCTATGATGGGCCAAACCAAAATTCTGCATTAGAATTCCCCCAGATTTTGGGATGCTTGAAATCCACACCAGTCTGAATAATATAGCTTGGAGCCATCTCTATTAGTAACACAGGTACAAATTTTGTTTAAATATATGAGGGCAAATCCCTGGCTGCAACCAAAAAATGCACAGCGTGGTTCAGGAAGGGGTGCCAAATGTGGTTTAAAGCCTTCTTTTCACTCTGTGATACTGAGCCAGATGTGAACTGGGCTGGTCCCATGGTATAATTTAGGCTGACCTTCAGGCTGTTTGAAATCACATCAGTTGTCATTTGCCACAAGAGGGGGTATTATGCAACCCAGGAGTCACCAGAGCACCTAGCCACACATCTTTTCCCTATCCCTACCCACTTGGCTGGCCAGAGGCTGTGGAAGTGGCATAGGAGCCATTATATGAGCTCTGCACCACTGGAGGACCACCTTACACTAGGGAAATGCCCACAGGGCTGATTTGTCCTGACAGCATGGTGCAAACTAACTGCAGAGCTGGCAAGGTTTGAGCCTGTGATTTTTTTATCTTTACAGAATCACCTAATAGAGTAATTGAAAATACCAAATGGTTACCATTCTTCTCCAGTTATGAACCAGTGTGACCTGGCACACAAAATTGTATTCCAGGTCATGCTGCCTTAGAAAATAATGCAAGTCACTGTTACAGTTTTAAAAAACCTGTGACGAGAACAATGATCTTCTAAAGTAGTTACCATAGCAAATTCTGATTCTATATGTAAATGGAAGGAACATAATTCTTAATACACTGATTTTAAATTAATAAGTGAAGACTCTATGTTTGAAGTAAGGTTCAACTTATTAATTTTGTACTCATCAACATGCCACATTGACAGAGCAAAACAAAACTGACAAATGATCAGGGCTGCCCAGAGGATTCAGGGGGCCTGGGGCAAAGCAATTTTGGGGGCCCCTTCCATAAAAAAAAGTTGCAATACTATAGAATACTATATTCTCGTGGGGGCCCCTGTGGGGCCCGGGGCCTGGGGAAAATTGCCCCACTTGTCCCCCCCTCTGGGCAGCCCTGCAAATGATACTGCACTTACTGTAGACAGACAGGAGAATTTATAAATCCCTACAACAGGGGTTGTCAATTATTTTTTGTCAAGGTCAAAATTTCTTGGTCATGGTATAGTCAAAGTCCAGACTCCAGAGAAAATAATAAAAAAAATACCAACAATAATGATAATATTAAGTAAATAAAAAGATTTTGGGGTCCATTCAAAAACATCTGGCCCTTCAGATTTGACCCGCAGTCCGCCTATTAATTACCCGTGCTCTACAATTTCTGAGACAAGAGGGTATATTGAAAAATAGATTAACACAAGCACAAAATTGTTCATGCATATGCGGCTGTGTATTTAACACAATTTTTTATAACTTTACTAAAGTAATTAAAAATAATACAAACTTTTTCTAGGGAAAGCTATTATTTTATTGAGCCTAACATATACATGCAAAAACAGATCTGTACTTAACTCTTCTACAGCAGTGAATATACTTGAATTTGAAGCAGTACCAAATATTCTTTAAAATTAGTGGAAAATGCAGCTCAATCTAAGTTGTAATATAAGGCACTACTGTACTTGAATTTCTTCTTATAGTACAGGTAAGAATTTTCAAAAGGATAAAGGGACACGTGCTTCTTTTGGTTCCATGCCATGCAGTAAATGGCCCCAATTTACAACAACTAGAACCCAACAAGGTCAAGTGCAAGAGAAAACCGGCTACATGTTGGTTTGTCGCATCACTGCATAACTGCAAAAGGGATTCTCTAACAGATAGTAAAAAGCAGCACCTCTGAAAATCATAACCCCTTTCCTTAGATTGTAAGAGCTGTTTGCATGTTTTTGTTATGCATTTGTACAGCACCTAGCACAATGGGACCTTGATCCCTGATTGAGGCCCCTCAGCACTACTGTGATAAACAGTGAAATGTGCCCCTGGCAAAGTGGTGTAACAGCCAACAGGCATTACATCACAGGAGAATCCTGTACAGATGAATACCCACCTCACCTGTGCAGACTAGCAAGGTGCTCAGATATCATGCTCATGAATGCAGACTATGTCCCTGGAAGGGGCAGCCAGTACGTCCCTCGGCCCGCACCACTTCCCACAGCTCCCATTGGCCTGGAGCAGCGAACCGCGGCCAGTGGGAGCCGCGATCGGTCGGACCTGCGGACGTGGCAGGTAAACAAACCGGCCTGGCCCGCCAGGGGCTTTCCCTACACAAGCGGCGTCCCAAGTTTGGGAAACACTGCCCTAGAGAAACAAGCAGGTTACAGCAGCTTGAAAGGAATACAGTGGCCATGTGCAGTGAGTATATGTGTGTGGTCTATTACAAATCTGGAAATGCTGTGCTACATACTTACATGTACCTGGGCCCCTGACACTTGTTGCTGAACAATGTGTTAGGGCACAATGTTCCACAGCTTTCCTGATAGTCTGTCCGCAGTTTGCCTCGTGTTTAGTTCAGTGGCAGTACTGATCACAGTGTCTGTGCTGTCTGATACTGAGCTGCATGATACTGACTGGACATCTGCTTTGCAATCTAGTACACCTGTTCATGTCTTAGAGCTTATCTGCAGCAGAGTAGCTGTGCCTAGCAAAGACACTACCTACCTGTGAGGCAGTAGCTATGTCAGCGGGAGAAGCCTTGCCGTCAATATAGTGCTGTCTATACCATTGGGTAGGTCGGTATAAATATGTCCGTCAAAGGTGTGGATTTTCCACACCACTGAGCAATGTAGTTATATCGACATAAGTCTGTAGTGTAGACCAGGGCTTACTCTTTTGCAGATGTCTTTTCTCTCCACATTGATTTGCAACCCAGAGGTTTGTTTCCTTATTTTAATTATCCAGTTCTTAAAAGTAATCCAAATAAACACAAAAAATAAATGCACATAGTAGATGGAGTGTATGGTCCTGTTTCTCATTTACATGGAAGCCCTTTACACTGCTCTAGTTACAGTTACACCCACTTTAA